TATAACAACGCCACGCACGCCGCAACAGGGCAAACTCCTTTTTTCCTCTGTTACGGTCGCAACCCACTCACGCCTCAGAAACCAACAGTACCCGCCACGGTGCAACCCGCACATGACTTCATTTCCACTATGCATCAATTGTGGGAGCGCACGCATAAACGTCTTCTGACTATCCAGCAGCAACAAAAGAAGCTCGCTGATCGGAGTCGCAACGATCATTCCATCCAGATTGGCGATCAGGTGCTTCTGGATACACGCAATCTCGACATTAGCCATCTTCCGTCTAAGCTCCGACCTCGCTTCTGCGGACCTTTTCTCGTCGAGGCGCAGGTCACTCCAGTAACCTTCCGCTTGCGTTTACCAGCTACCTGGAGAATTCACAATGCCTTCCATGTTCAACTTCTCAAGCCCTATCGGGACCCAAACATGGTCTTCAAAGGTCGCCAGCCGCCGCCGCCACTGCCAGTGATCGTTAATGGGGAACCCGAGTACGAAGTCGAAGCCGTTCTGGCGCACTGACGACGACGTAGCGGCACCTTGGAGCTCTTGATTCGTTGGAAAGGCTATGATCCTTCCGAGGATACCTGGGTACCTGAACACAACATGGATAACGCCCGCCGTCCTCTACAGGACTACCTTGTCAAGCAGGGTGTTACTTCTACCACCCAGTTTTGAGGGGGGGAAGTGTGAGAGGACGTCCCCGTTATAATATTTTCTCACTATTATATTTTTCCGTTATCCCATTCTCCCTTTTCTCCTCTTTATTTTGGTCTTTATCTCATCTCAATCGGCCTACTATTCTATTTTCTAGAGCCTTCTATTTATTTCTCTTATTTCCTACTTTTCCCACCGACATACCTATTATACGGCACCGACAGCGCCGACAGTGGTGTATACGGTGTAATCTGGGCGTAATCCCAAGTGCCAATAGACTTGCGTGCTTATGCGCACTTGTGATTGTAGTATCGGGAAGGGTGTGTTCCCGAAGGTTCGTTTTATCTCGTTTATCCTTGTACTTTCCGAGTATAAATAGGCCTTGTATTCAGTTTTAGTGACAAGTTTCGATTGAGAATTCGATCCTGTGACAACGACAGTGTCGGTGAAGATGTGAGCGACTTCTTCATCTGCTCGAACACCTGCTGCTGCGCTGGACCCCAATCGAAATCTACGCCCTTACGAAGTAGGTCAGTGTGTGAACTAGCGATCGATGCGTAACCCTGAACGAAACGACGTTAGTATTTGGCGAATCCGAGAAAGCTCTGCAACTCCTTGACTGAGGTCGATGCTACTTAATCCTGTACTGCTGCGATCTTCGTCGGGTCGGTCCTAATGCCACTAGCGAATACGACATGGCCTAGAAACTTGACCTCTAGAAGGAAGAACTCGCACTTCGACTGTTTTGCGTACAACTGCTCTCTCCGTAAGACCTCGAAGACCTTCTGCAAGTGCTGCACGTGCTCGTCTTTCGTCTATGAGAAGATTAGGATGTCATATAGGTAAACTACGACGAACGACCATAGGAACTCGGGGATGACGGTGTTCATGAGCGTCTGAAACGTCGCTGGAGCGTTGGTCAAACCGAACGGTATAACCCTAAACTCGTACAGCCCTTGCTTCTTACGAAACGCCGTCTTGTGCTGGTCCATTGTTACTACGCGAATCTGGTGGTAACCCGAACGAAGGTCGATCTTTGAGAAGACTCTAGCGCCATGCACCGCATCTAGGAGATCCTCTACTCTCGGCACCGGAAACCTATTCTTGACGGTGGCGGCGTTCAGTGCGCGGTAGTCTATGCACATCCGCAACCCTCCGTCTTTCTTAGGCGCGAAGAGGATCGGTGCTGCCCAATACCATTTAGATGGCTGTATGAACCCCTGTGCGAGAAAGTGCCTAACCTGCCGCGTCATCTGCTCTGTCTCCGCTGGACTCAACCTCCACTACGACTTCGCTACTGGCCTGCCCCCCGGTTCGAACTCTATTCGATGGTCTACTGCTCGGCTGGGAGGTAACCCTGGGGGCAACTCGTCGGGGAAGACGTCTGCGAACTCTGCTAACAGTGCACTCACCTCAGCAGGAAGAGTCGCCTTCTCACCAACTGCTGCACTCCCTCCTTTTCCCCTCCTCAGCTTCCACCTCCTCAAGGAAAACCGCAAAGATCCGTGCCGCTCGCGTTACCAGCTGCCGCACACGAACAGCATTGATGATGGCTATGGATGATGTGGCCCCATCGCTCCACTATGGCAGCTCCCGGAACTCGCCATCTACCTTGATGCTGCAGCTTCCCTGAGCCCAATCGAACTGAGTACTAACCGTCCGCAACCAATCTCTACCGAATATGAAGTTGTAACCGTCCAGCGTTGTAGAACCGTGATTGGTCCTAGCACTACGCGCAACTTACGAATGACTGGTCCTATGTGAAGTGGCGTCACATCTACCGTGCGAGCGTCCTTGAAGTTGACTGCCGAATCTGCCTCGAGATGGAGACGACTAACTAATGAAGACGAAACGAACGAGCGGCTAGCTCCGCTATCGATGAGAATCTTGACAGGAACACCGCGAAGCTTCCCTAGAAGCACGACTGGACGATCAACAGTGTCTACCTCGTTCGGCGTAGATGACTGCTCTAAGGTCGTCTTCTTTACGTTGGTAGACGCGACGGGCTCGGAAGCGTCCTCACCAGTTAGCGAGCTGCTATCTACTGGCGGTTTTCGTTTCCCTGCTGCCGCTCGTTAAGCTGTGAGCAGTCCTGCTTCATGTGTCCCGACTTTTTGCAGTAGTGACAGTTCCCCCTAAATCCCGTTTTCTGTGAGCCGTCACTGTTAACTGCACCAATCTCCATGGGCGATGGTCCGTCCCTCGATTGAACGTCGTTGATCGGTCCGTTGTATCCCCTATCGCGATCTCACGACCACGTCGGCTTCGTACTAAGTCAACGCGTGCTGCGGCTGCGACAAATGACTCGAAGGTGGACAACCCGTGAATCGCTATAACTTCCGCTATGTCTGGCTTCAACCCTTCGAGGTAGCGATCGCGAATCTCTGCTTCCGTGATGTCGTCTATTTCGTTGCAGATGCTCAAGAACCGTCGTGTGTGCTCTTAGACGTTTCCTATCTGTCGGAAATGACGCAGACGCTTTCTAGCAGCTTCAGAGACGTTCACCAAGTCGAACCTACTTTTCAGCGCCGCTTCAAATCCTTCCCATGTCGTCGGAACCGTGGTAACACCCAAAGCTAAACTTCCTAAGCTCGAGGTTGCAGCTGCATGCCCCACGCCCTGTTGATGCCCGTCTGTATGAGCCCTTCTTACAGCAGTTTGCGTGATTTGGCACCACCACTCCAAGGCCGGACCCCTCGGCAGCGTAACGGAGTACTCGATCTGCTGCTGCGCGTCCGCCTCTTGCACCCCGCTCGCGACGAAGTAGTTGTTCAGCATGAAGAGCCACGTTCGCACGTTCGTGTCGCGTTGACTTGGGTCGAACGACTCGGGTTTCTGCGGCTTGAGTGCGCTTCGACGTTCCGGCAGCGCTTCCGCACCAGTTGACGTGTTGGGAGTAGGAGATGGTGCGGCATGACCATGAGAAATTGACGCGAATTCACGAAGCTGTTGCATTTCAGCTCGTACCTGACGATTTTCCAACGTTAATTGTCCGAGTTGGCGCATGAGTTGAACAAGCGTGTTGCCCATGTCGTTGGGGAGAGCGTTCATGGTCTTGTCCATGCTGGCTGGACGACTCCAAGTCTGCAAGTCGGCACAGCGGGACGATGACGTCGTCGTCTCGTCGTCGACGATCGCTCATTGGAAGTCGCTCCCCACGAAGGCTCTGATACCAAATGTTAGGCCCGCTGGCCTAAATCCGCCAAAAATTAGCGGGGTCGACTAAGTCAAGGATAAACGCGGCGGAAAACTTTGGCGAAATAGGCGAAGAAGAAACTGAGAAATTGAAGAGTTGAATGAGAATTGATTGATATTGGTGGATACAAGCAAGGATGATATAGCATGCAAGGTCAAATGTCGGAAAGTATTTCGCGGGACTAGAAAGTAGAAGCAAGAAAGGTAGAGTGCCATGTGGCACTAAGGCATCTGAAAAGATAAGGATAAGGATGGGGTTGGGAATAGTAAACACCCCTCTAACACGAACCACAAAATAAGGTAAACTATAAATTTCAGCACCACCTCACCCCGAAATTTCAGTGCAAACCACCTCATTCCCCGCCACCAACCCGCCCTTCCCCCTCGCATCACTTGTTCCATCCGACCCGCTGCCCATCTCTCCTCTCCTCACCGTACTGCACCGACATCACCATCAGGATTCTACAAGTGATTCTCGGGCTCCTCCCAGCCAGCCAGGCAGGTGCGCCTGGGGGTACAGGAGTGACGGATTTGAGGAACGTCAATGGACATCCAACATCGCTGGGGAGGGGAGCAGCTGCCTGATGTGAACCTGATGTACCGCAGAGGAGTGACGATAAACGCATATTCTCTCCCGTGCGAGTGTAAAATACTTACTCAAATCGCATCTTCTGTGGAAATCGCCGCAGCTAGGGGTGCGAGATGGAGTGATTGCTTTAAAGTAAGGCCTGAAACAACACCACTTTAGACCTACGATCTCGTAACCCCACTGAGGTGTTTGTTCACGACAATACGTCGTCTCGACATCTCTGCCGGCAGATATCGTCGTCATCGCCGTTAACACCCGAAATCCATCCAACCGCTCGTTAAACAACGGCTATGATGTTCGCTCCTACCTTCCTCCAGTTGTGACTCCTGCGCAAACCAAGATCGTCGCTCATCTGCAAGTCGAGGGGAAGAAGAGGCAGCTGTATTGAGACGTCTGAAAACAGGAGGAAGCTATATCTGACAGTACTGGGACGAGACGGCACGAGGGAGGGGATCTGGAAGGGTCCCGGCAGGCGCAGTTACTGTTACCGTGCCGAAGCAGCGTGAATTCGTGAAAATCGATTAGATCGTCTGGTTGTTTTGCGTGATTCGAGGTCCGCGCCATGGCGTGGCCGATCGACTCTACTGTGAAGCTCGTGCTCGGTATTCTAGGTTCGTGGCTCTTGTCGTCGTCACCTCGTGCCCCGTCGCATCCAGTCGCATCCAGTCGCATCCAGTCGCATTCCCTAACGAAACACTGCGCACTCCCCCGATCTTTAGATCACTCCCTCTATCCGCACCCGCCTCATACGTCTGTGCGAGACACTCGCGCACGCGCGCATACGTGAACCTGAGCCCAACCATTTCGCGCGATCACTTATTCACTCTCTTTTCCCTCTTCCCACGAATCACAGGCAATGTGACGGCTCTCGCTCTCTTCCTTTCCCCTGTGTAAGCCCTCACCACCCGATCACCGCTTTCATCGTTCCCTTCCGCGCTCTCTTCTCCTCTTCTTACCACTGATTATTCTCTCCTCCTCTCCCATTCCCAACTTCTCCCCAACTTTTCTCCCGCTTGCATTTCCCTCCTCTCGTCCACGCACTATCTATATCCACCAATCGCATTCATCCACCGCTCCTTCTCCTCCTCCTCTTCCTCCCAAGTTCTGTTCCTCAATCCCTCACCGCGGGCAATGGCCAACATGACACCACTCCCCCCTCGCAACCACGCGCCTTTGTGATTGCACCCTTCCCCCACCCCCCTTGGTTCCCCCACCCCCCTCCACCCATTTCTCCCCCTATCCCGCAGCAAGACCATGCGCACGATCCTTCTCGCGCGATCAGTCGGAGACTTTTCGGAGCTGCCCTACGTGGTGACGCTGTTTAACTGCCTGCTGTGGACGACGTACGGGCTGCCCGTGGTGGAATCGGGGCGAGTGCTGGTGTCCACCGTCAACGGCACCGGCGCCTTCCTTGCTGCACTCTACATCGTCCCCTTCCTCGCTCTCGCCACCAGGCGCACCAAGGTGGGGGATTTCGGGGAGCGGGAGGTGGGGGGAAGAGGGGGTGTGAGGGGTTGGTGGGGATGATCGGGGGCAGGAGGGTGCTTGGTCTGTGTGGCTGTGTCCTCCTGTTCATTGTGAATGGCAAAGTAGCCTTGTTTCTGCTTCTCTCGGTTGCCAAACCGGTCCCCCCCCCCCACCTCCCCCCTCCTCCCCCCACCTCTTCCCCCCCCCCCCCCCCCCACTCTTCCTCCTCTCCTTCTTCCACCCCCACTCCCCACCCTCCCCTCCCGCTCCCCCCACCCCCTGTCCCTCCTTCCCTATCCACCCCGTACCACCTTATTCCTCCATCTATCACTCATTCAGACAGATGCACATGCACATGCCACACCACCTCATGGCACTGGCATGGGCGGAATGGGCTGCTGGCATGGCACAGCCAAAGCACATGCTCCTTACAAAGCTTAATGGCCTCCTCTCCCCAGATTCCTCTTGTGCAAATCATCACCCTGTCACCTTTTCTCTCCACAGCCCAGCGCTGCCTCTGGTTCATTCATTCATTATCCGTGAGCCACACTTATCCATTCTGCACAATCTCGCCACCATCTCCCCATCTACATGCCAACTCCTTCCACCCTTTTCTCATCACCACCCCCCCTCCCTTTCCCCTCTCCCATCCTCCGCTTCTCTCCCCCTCCTTGCACCCCCCCACTTTCGCTTCTCTTCCCCATCTCTTCCCCCTTCCCCACCCATCCCATGCACGTCAGATCCGCACGGCGGTCTTACTGGGCGTGGTGCTGCTGCTCTTCGGCTCCATTCTCCTCACCACCTTCCTCGCCTTCCACACGCCAGCCACGCGCACCAGCTTCCTGGGGATCTGCGCCGTGGTGGTGACGATAGGCATGTATGCCAGCCCACTCGATATCATGCGCACCGTCGTGCGCACCAAGAGTGTGGAGTTCATGCCGCTGCTGCTCTCGCTCTGTTGCTTCCTCAATGGCATCGCCTGGACAGGTGCGTGTGGCCTGTGGGTTGTGCCCTCTGTAATATTTATATCACTGCTGCCTGTGCGCTTCTGCGTGTTTCTGACAGTGTGCAGTTCCGTGCCAAGAGTGATTTATCCATCTTCTTTTCCTTGATTTGCATTCCGTTGCTTTGGTTGAGCCTGGCATGTCTTTCCTTCTGGTCCCATGTGATGACATCTTGTTCCGTTCCAGCTCTTTTCCCTGTGGTTAAGGCTCAAATTCCTCTCCCCCTCACCCCTGTCCTCCCCTCTCGCCTCTCCTAATTCGCTTCTCGTGCAGCATATGGAACATACACCATGGACATTTATATCATTGTAAGCCGCTTGATCCCGTGGAACAGATTCTCTCGCAAATCATCCACTTATCCCAGAATAGGAGTAGTTACTGTTTTCACGCTTCCTTCATCACTCCACCCACCTCTTTCATGATTTTGCTTCTTCTCCGTATCACACAACCTCCACTTACCGTCTTGTCTTTTTCGTTGGGTCCCCCATACAGATACCTAACTCCATTGGTGCAGTTTTAGGGACAGCGCAACTCATACTATACGGCATGTACTGTAAATCTGACAAGTCAGGAGCAAATCTGGGTGCAGAGAGCAAGGAGCAACGGAAGAGGAGGGGAGGTGCTGGGGTGTGGAGGAGAGGAGGGTCAGATAGTACAAGGCACATGTTGGGATCGAGCAATTCCCTTAATCTCTCTAAAGACGCAATCACTCCCGAAGAGATGGTGGTGGTGGAAGAGGAGGGTGCTGAGGAGAGTGGTGGGGGAAAATGGGAAAGGATAGGAGATGGAGGCGATATGGAGAAAGGTGGGAATGAAAATGGAGCTGCAAAGTAGGCTGCAGAGAGATTGACCCGGAAATATTTTATCTCTGGATTTGTATAATGATCTAGTGCATTCCAAGCAGTGCTACACCGACAACCTATCATGTTGGCCCCTTCCATCACTGATCACCAACCTCGCTTTTTGCAGGGTTGTCGTTTTTTTTCACAAACTGCCCAGTTGCAAGTTCGCAACTGTTGTGGGGGACACTACAGTGTGGTCATGAAACAGTTGATTGTCTTTAACGCTCCAACCGGCTGTTTCCGTTTTTTCTCTGCGGAATGGATTGTTTTGTTTGAAGTGCATAATGTATTTTCGAGCTAAAGCCATCCAGATGCTACGGCTAACTTCTAATTCCAGCAGGATTCCCACATCTTGTTGTGCGGTCGTGGCAGCAGGGCTAGGCACCTATCTGCACCGAACTGGGGGCTGGAAAACAAATTTCGCCCGTTTGAGGGGCAACTGCGTTGAGAAATAAATGAACTTCCTTTCTTTCTTCACTTCCCCCACAGCACCACCTTCCTCCTCGTCAGACCCACACACACTCCCCAGTGGAACTGTTGGTCCGTACACACATTTCATGTGATTTGGTAGGGAGGTAGCTACTGTCCTTAGGGGCTTGATTCGCATTATTAGTCGCCAAAAAAGGCACCTTCGATTGTTACGCCAATTGGCATCTCTTCTTTAACACTCTAGGAGTACGCCTTGGCGATGTAGACTTGACATTAACGCGAAGTATCTTCCTTTTCGCGAAAGCCTCGTGGCCGTGTCTAATACCCTGACATAGGCAATGATCACGTCAGCACCCTGGAAGCAGCAGCAGCAGCAGCAGCAACAGGCCGCGCGCAACGGAATAAAGCACCCTAATTGGCGTGGAAGAACACCGGAAGGATTAGTAGCATGGAAGCGGGGGGGCAGGATTCAGGAGCACTTACTGGAGCCAAGCATCAGTCACCAGAGGGTGACAATCATGCGGACGGAGCGGCAGCGCGCGCGAACGCAACTTCACTGGAACCCGCAGCATTCCTCTCAGCGGCTCAAGCAGTAGCTATAGGCGGGGTGAGCCTCGTGTCGCGCGCCGCCTCGAATACCTTCTCGTGTCTAAGTTATCGCCCTTCAATGCGCCATACGCCCAATTAAAGCCTGGTGCCCATAGTAGCCTTCACATAGTTCTTCACATAGCGCCTTCACATGATTCGCCTGGTTTAGGTCAAGCCTCTCGTTGATTCTTCAATAGACGCGAAACCCTTTCGATCAGGCCAGTTAACCCAAGCAACCTGTGGCTGTCCGCGCGCCACGTAGACTCCCTGCTTACGTGGCAACCGAGCGCATTGCTGCTGAGCGCCGCAGCAGCGTCATTCCGTAGGCGCGGCAGTCCCAATTCCGTAACTCCTGGGGGTCGGCACAGGCGGCGCCGGGTCCTTAATTGCTCCGTTTCTGTCTGTCCGATTCGGCCAGTCGTGTGCGGCCTAGCCTTGCCCGCAATCATCGCTACACTCCGCCTCTCCTCCCATTTTCCCCTCTTACTAACCTCTTCGTATTCACCACGTGCTCAATCCCCTCTGCGACTCTCATTCCCTCAGTTCCGTGCTTCACCCACGTTTCTTTCCGACAGTCTAACTCGCTTCTCTCCTGCTAACCCGCCTCCTCTTCTCCTGCACATGCTACTGCGCCACGGGGTAGCACCAGCGCAACCACCTGCCAGCAGCAGCAGCAGCAGCAGCAGCAGCAGCAGCAGCGTCAGCAGCAGCGCCGTTCCCGCGGTTTCCGCCTTCCCATCCCCCATGGACGTGTCGCACCTAGCCTCCACCCTCGCCGCCGCCATCCCCGCCGCCTATCCCCCTCACGCGCACGCCTCCCCCGTCTCCCCGGCCTTCTCCCCGCCCCTGCTCTCCCCGCGCTCGCCTGAAGTCAGTCCGCGGGGCAGCCGGCTCAAAGTGACGGCGGATATTATAATAGCGCGTACAATCGACTCGGTCCTGGACCTCTCCTTCCCTTACGGCTCTGCTGCTGCTTCCCCCTCCAGAGTAGGTCGCGGGTGGCGAGGGTAGGGTTTTGTGTGTAACATGGTAACAACTCATGGGATGGGTTTCGAGCCTTTTCCTTGCTCTTGTGGTTGGAACTTGGTTCCATTGTCAGGGGGATTTCCATGCTGCTCTCCTTCTCACATTTCCTCCCGTTCGCCATCTTGTTCCTCGCCTGACATCCTTGCCTGTTCCTCTCCCTCCCACTACTCCCCCCAATTTCCACTTTGTGTATTCAAGCTAAGTTTTCCTCATTACCGTCTGTTCTATTCCCATTCGCCCTCTCTCGGCCCCCCTCCCTCTCCCGTCCGCCCTGCATGCGCTCCCCGTTGCCTGACCATCCCCTGGGGCTGATCACCTGCTGCAGTCACCACAGCACCGCTACAGTGCAAACCAGCAGCAGCAGCTGCCGCAGCAGGAGCAGCAAGAGCAGCAGCATCTGCACTCGCAGTCCCTCCCTACGCTCATACTCCCAGATCCCACCTACAGCACCACCAGTAGCGGTAGCGGTGGCAGCAGCACCACCAGCAGCAGCATCAGTGGCTTTAACAGCAGCAGCAGCAGCAGCAGCAGCAGCAGCGGCGGCAGTGGCGTTGGCAGCAACCCAAACGGCATTGCAGACAGCAGCTTTGGCTTCGGCAGCCCCACATTCAAACCCTCCGCTCCTCGTGCCTTCCCGGAACCACTACCACAGCTGAGCGGGGAAGAATCCTCCACAGACGCGGACAGCAGCAGCCCGAGAGCAGGGGAGGCAGATACGCCCAAAATAGGCCGGCCAGGGTCGCTTTGGGGGGGCGGCAAGGGGAGGAAGGGCGCGGTGTTTCCGGCGCTGCTAGTGGACGTGCCAGACGGCAGCAAGTCGCCCACAGGCGCCGGTACGCCATCATATGATGCAATTGTCTTGCGCCTCTTGCCTTGGGTCCTCGGTAGGGTCTGAGGTCGGGTTCTGGGGTTTTCACTTTATGCCTCTCCCATATCCTCCTTTTTGAACGCGCCCCCCCTCCCCGCCATACACCCTGTGCGCCCCCCGCTCCTTTCAGGGCGTTCCGTGGCAGCAGAGGCAGATGCGGTGGTGGAGTCCCCTGTGGCCATTTCATCCACCCCGCCCGCCCCCGCTGCATCACCACCCTCTTCCACCTCTTCCTCTACCCCCAGCCCTCTTGGCTTCACCTTCACACCCACGTCAGCAGCAGCAGCGGCAGCAGCGGGAGCAGCGGCAGGAACAGAAGCAGGTGCCCCATCCTCCCCCTCACTCCCCACCATCCCTCCACCAGCACTCTCTCCTTCCCTCACCAAACCCCATGCCCCGCTCTCCCCATCCTTCCCATCCCCTCTCGCCCACTCCCCGCACGCCTCCCTGTCGCCCACCTTGCTAGCAGCCACCTTCGCAGCCACCAGGGAAGCCACTCCTTTCGCCATCTGCGGATCCCCCATCGCCTCCCCCCTCAACTCCCCCGGCCCCTCCCACTCCCCCGCTCTCACGCCCTCGCGCCGCCACCTACCGCCCTTCCCCGAGCCCCCCATGGCGCCGTCTCTCTTCTCCGCAATGGACAAGCTTCTCTCCGTCTCCACCGGAGCAGCAGACCTCCAACCCTCGCCGCTTCCCTCCCCGCTCGCCTCGCCCGCCCTCTCCCCCCTCCCTGGGTCTGCCTGGCCCCCCCCGGCCCTGTCCCCTGCGCCATCCCCTGGCCCGTCCCCTGGCCCCTCCCCGGTGCCCTCGCCTCTCTCTGCCAGTGGAAGGAACGGTGCGCTGCCGTCCTTGTTCACCCGTGGCGCCTTCCCTAGTGGGGCCGGTGGTGGTGCGGGCAGTGACGCGGGCAGTGACGCGGGCAGTGACGCGGGCAGTGACGCGGGCAGTGACGCGGGCAGTGGGGCGGGCAGTGGGGCGGGCGTGATGGGCAATGGATTGGATGGCACGACTGGGGGGTTACCATGGCTGGGGTTGGGGTTGGGGTTGGGGTTGGGGTTGGGCCCTGGGCCAGGGTCGGGGTCAGGGTCGGGCAGTAGTCCTGGCAAGGCGCGCATGCTGCTAGGCCTGGTGGACCCAGGGGAGGAGCCTGCAGCAGCAGGGCATGTGTCCCCCTTCAACAGCTCCCGCCGCCACCTCGATGCCCTTCGCAGGACCTGCGCCTCTGGTCGCACTCCAGATGGCTCCTCCTCTTCTTCTTCGTCTTCTTCCTCCCCCTCCTCCTCATCCTCCTCCTCCTCCTTCTCCTCCTCCTCCTCCTTCTCCCTCTCTTCTTCGTCACCCTCACCACTACCATCATCCACCCCCACCAGTGCCATCGCAACCACTGCCACACAGCAACCCACTGCATCACAACGTGCACACACCTCATCCCAATCCGCCTCCGCCTCTCTTTCCTCTGGCCTACCTGTGCGTATGACTGCGTCGTACCGCTCCAAGTCACTGGAGCAGGCGCCAGTGGAAGCAGCGGCGGTGGGGGTGCTGTATCAGAAGAGCCACTCGCTTGACCTGGACCTCTCAAGGGGTGCTTTTGATCCATCCGAAAGCTTGCCGGGTGCTGCTGCTGCGGTTGATGCTGCTGCAGTTGATGCTGCTGCGGTTGATGCTGCTGCGGTTGATGCTGCTGCGGTTGATGCTGCTGCGGGTGATGCTGCTGCAGGTGATGCTGCTGCGGGTGATGCTGCTGCGGGTGATGCTGCTGCGGTTGATGCTGCTGCGGGTGATGCTGCTGCGGTTGATGCTGCTGCGGGTTATGCTGCTGCGGTTGATGCTGCTACAGCTGACGCTGCTACAGCAGACGCTGTCACAGGTGACGCTGCTTCAGGTGACGCTGTTACGGTTGATGTTGCCACTGCTGCGGCTGGCCCTCTCCCTGTCACCTCGCCAGCAGCAGCAGCAGCTAATTCCTTCCCTGGCCTGAACCCCACAGCAACTGCCACCACAAGAGCTGCGCCAGCAGTAGAGGCCACAGGGTCAGGTGTGCTTAGAGAGGAGGAGGGCGAGATGGTTGGGGATGTGCCAAGTGTGATGAAATCCGATGGGGAGGGTGGGGTAGAGGAAGGGGAAGGTGCAGGGCGAAGGGATGTGGAGAGGTCAGATTACAGGGCTGGTGGCGACGAGGAGGAGGAGGAGGAGGAGGAGGAGGAGGAGGAGGAGGAGGAGGAGGAGGAGGAGGAGGAGGAGGAGGAGGAGGAGGAGGAGGAGGAGGAGGAGGAGGAGGAGGAGGAGGAGGAGGAGGAGGAGGAGGAGGAGGAGGAGGAGGAGGAGGAGGAGGAGGAGGAGGAGGAGGAGGAGGAGGAGGAGGAGGAGGAGGAGGAGGAGGAGGAGGAGGAGGAGGAGGAGGAGGAGGAGGAGGAGGAGGAGGAGGAGGAGGAGGAGGAGGAGGAGGAGGAGGAGGAGGAGGAGGAGGAGGGGCAAGTGGGGAGTGGAAGGGGCGAGGAGGGCGAGGTTCATGTGCCGTTGAGACTTCATGCGGCTGCTGCTCCTCCTGACAACGCTTCTGCTGCTGCTCTGGCTGCTCCTCCAGCTGCTGCCACCCCTGCTTCGACTAGCGTTGTTCCTGCCGGATTGCATCCTTCCACAGATACAGCTGCTGCTGCTGCCGCCGCTGCTGCTGCCCCTGCTGCCCCTCCTGAAGCTTGTGGCAACGGCTTTCTGGGGCATGGAGAGGAGAGCAGCAGGGTGAGTGCGGAGCAGGCCTCTGCTGCTGGTCACGGCAACGGTTTGCCCCGGGATAGAGTGCAAGGGGACCAGGTTCCAGTGCCCAGCCTCCAACAACAGCTTGGGGACCACCCAACGCAGCAGCCGCAGCAGCGGCCGCAACAGGAGCTGCAGCAGCCGCAGCTGCAGCCACAGCAGCAACTGCAACACCAGCAGCAGCAGCAACAGCAACAGCAGCCGGTGCAGCAGCAGCAGCCGGCGCAGCAGCAGCTGCCAGCAGCGCCGCTGGTGATAAACGTGGCTCCACTGGACGCATTATCTGCAGCGGGGCGAGTCACGTTTGACGGGCCACTCGTGGGCGGGCTGGAGGAGCCCCTGCACCTGCCCAGCTTCACGAGCGGCGCCCTGCCCTGGCAGCGCAAGAAGAGCCCGCCTCCCTTTGCTGCCGGCGCACGCGCGCTAGAGGCGCTGCGGCGAGCACAGGGTGCTGCTGCTGCCCATGCTGCTGCTGGGGCTGGCGGGTCTGAGGCTGCTGGGACTGCTGGGGCGGGTGGTGAGAGCATGGTGGGTGAGGGTGTTGATGAGGATGGGGTCCTTTTGCCCTCGTCTGCTCTGCCCTGGGGTGATTCTGCAGCAGCTGCTGCAGGAGGAGGAGGTGGGGTGGGTGGGTGGGCGGTGGAGCGATTGGTGGTGGAGAGGGAAGAGGAGGGGGAGATGGAGCATGCAAGCAGAGATGTGGAGAGCAGCAAGGAGGGGCAAGTGAACGCTGTGGACTCCAACCCTGGGTTGATCCAGGGTAATGCTGTTGCTGGTAGGCGCGATGATGGTGGTGGAGGGAGGGAGGGCAATGCCAGGGATAATGGCACTACTGCTGCACCGGCAGGCAGTGCTCTGGATGGCTCGTTTGACTCTCTTTTTGGTGCCTCTGCAGGGGTTCTCCTGCCACCTGTGCCTGTGCTGCCGCCACTCACACCCGATGCTGCATCTGTCCTCTCCTCCCACACACCTGCCACATCTGCTACCGCTGCAGCTGTCCCAGCAGACCCATTAGCAGCAGCAGCAGCAGCAGCAGCAGCAGCAGCAGCAGCAGCAGCAGCAGCAGCAGCAGCAGCAGCAGCAGCGGGGGCAAGAGACAAAACAGTGGTAGCACAAGGCACTGGCGCTCTTACGAACCACGCGCCACACAGGCACACACCACCCCATCACCCCCCCCTGGGCCTCCTACCCCTCTCCATCCCCGGCAGCACCAAGCCTCACCCAGCAGCACCCGCCCCACTCCACACCGCGCCCTCCCCATCCCCCTCCTCCCTCACCCCCTCCCCCCTCGCCTCGTCGCCGCTCATCACCCCATCGCCCACCAGCGGCCCCCACAGGGCCTTCCCGCGCTCAGCCACGTGCTCCTCCCTGCCTGTGCGCTCGCCCCTCTCCTCCTCCCCCGTCGCCTCTCCCGGGTCTCTAGAGGCGCTCTTCCAGTCGTCCAAGCACCACGGCGGGGTTGTCTTGGAGAATTCTGTGAAGTCCCTCGGAGTGGGATTTGATCACCATTCCAGCCCCTCGGCCTCCTCCTCCCGCCTTGCACTCCCGCTCCCGCCCCCCCCCCTCTTCTTCCTCCTCCACCCCCTCCTCCACTCCCAACGCTGCATCAGCAGTATCAGCCCGGGCAGCATCACTAGCAGCAGCAACAGCAGCCACATCATCCCCCGTTCCATCGCTCTCCCCGCTCCTCCTCGCTGGCTCCACTGCTTCTCCCTCCACTGCCCCCGCGCTGCTATCCCGCCCCGCACTCGCACGCTACCACACCATGCCAGCAGCCCAGATGGCCCACCTCCCCATGCCCGCCCTTGCCCCCATGCACTCCTTCCTCGACTCGTCTGGTAACCCTGTAACCCTGGAGGAGCTGTTTCAGCAAACCCGGCTGTCAGGGGTTGTGCCTGTGGTATCGCCCCTGCCGTCCCCACTCGTCTCCCCAGCACTCAGCTCGCCTGCCTCTGCTGCCGCATCCCCTATAGCCGCTTCCCCCGCTTCTGCTGCTGCTGCCGCTGCTGGTGTCAGCACCTCTGGATTTATCTCCCCGGTGCTGTTCTCGCCCATGCTGCTATCCCCAGCCATGTCCCCCGGTGTGGCACCACCAGTGCCTCCTCCCACACCTGCCAAGCCCTCTGTCACGCTGCTTGGCCTTGTTCCTTCCTCCTCTTCCACCTCCTCCCCGTCTTTCTCCAAGCATCAGCCTTCCCCTCCTCCATCCGCTTCCTTGCCGTCCCTATTCTCCTCCTCCTCCTCCTCCTCCTCCTCCTCCTCCTCCTCCTCCTCCTCCTCCTCCTCCTCCTCCTCCTCCTCCTCCTCCTCCTCCTCCTCCTCCTCCTCCTCCTCCTCCTCCTCCTCCTCTTCCTCCTCCCCCTCTCCTCCCACCACCACCGCACCCCTTCCCACAAACCCCTCACTCTCACCAACCCCACCATTCCACCACCTAATCCCAACCCCGCCTCCTCCCCGTTCCCCTTCCGCGCACGACCCGCGCTCCCCACGCCACAGCATGATACACAGCAACCCACATTCACCCAGGCACGGCTGGCGCTCACCCATCTCCTCAACCTCAACCATCCCCACCCACGACCCGTTCTCTCTCCACCACGCGCCCTCCAGCAACACCGGCGGCCCCATATACTCTGTGCAGAGCCCCTCGCGCCCGCGCTCCCCCGTGCCGCTCTCTCCCCGTGTGCTGCGCCAAGTGGCTGCTTCCAACAGTTTCAACAGCAGCAGCCCCCGTGCTGCCTCTGCTGCTGCGGCTGCTGCTGCTGCGGCGGCGGCGGCTGTGGCGACTGCTGCTGCTGCTACAGAGGCTACTGCTGCTGCATCAGGTGGGTTTTCAGGTGGTGGAGGGTTGGAAGAGGCGGCTCCTCTCTCGCAGCTCGACGTGCTCGTGGCTCTCTCTGCCGGCGCTCTCCCTGTCATGCCCACGCACACCTCTCCCACCGCTTCCATTTCTCCCGCCACCACTCCCGACCGCTTCTCACCCACATGGCCCGCAACAGCAGCACACAGCCCCTCCACTCCTGCCGTCGCTGCAGCAGCAATCAACCACACCGAGTCACCAGGGGCAGGACCTCGCACCCCCGTGAGTGTATTCAGCACAGCAGCAGGACCAGGAGCAGCGAGGGGCAGCACAGGCAGTCCCAGGCACGGTCGCCCCATGCGCACGCTGCTAGGCCTGGTGGAGGTGCGGGAGGAGGAGCCCCCCAAGTCCCCCCGCAGCGCCAACCCCTCCCCTCGCAGCCGCCACATGCGGCGCCACAGCATGCCCAGTGCCAAGAGCAACCTCGGTGCTGCTGGTAGCTATGGTGCGGATGGGGCAGGGGGAGCGGGTGCGGGAGGGGGGACGGGTTCAGTGCCTGCTGCTGCTCCTGAGGCGTCTCCCCAGGGTGATGCTGTTGGTGCTGCGGCCAGTGCTGGTCAAGGTGCTGCTGATGCTGCTGCTGCTGCTCCTGCTCCTGCTGCTGCCCCTAGTGCTGTTTCCTCACTCGTCGTACCAGTAGATCGACAGCAGCAGCAGCAGCAGGCGCTGCAGCAGAGGCAGCGGCAGCAGCAGCAGGACCAAGGGTACTCTGCAGTGGGGCTGACCCATCTGGGTCCGTTGCAGGGGGGCGGGGAGGAGGAGCAACAGTTCCATCTGCAGCTTCCCAACTTCAAGATTGCTCGCCCTCCCTTCCTACGCGACTCCGCCTCTCCTGCTGCTGCTCACAGCCCTGCCTCTCCTGCTGCTGCTCAGAATGAGCACGTGTTGCTGCCAGTAGGGCTCGGGGCAGAGAGGGAAGGCGGGGGGAGTGCTGGCGGGGATATGGGGAGACGGGGAGTGGGGGATACAGGTGGGGGAGATGGGCAGAAGGGAGTGATGCAGCCAGTAGAAGCAGGAGATGCAGTGGCTGTAGCAGCTGCTGACGCTGTGCCTACAGGTGCAGTTGCCGACAGTGGGAAAGCTGCTGCTGCTGCTGCTGCTGCTGCTGCGGCTGCTGCTGCTGTCGCGTCTGCTGCAGTGACACCTGTGGTTTCAGGTGGAGAACAAGAAACAGCCGGAGCAGCATCAGCAGCAGCAGGAGCGGAGGCCAGAGCAACAGCAGGAGGAGCAACAGGTGCTTTGAGCAGTGCGCACGTTTCACAGGAGAGCGGAAATGGAGCAGGTGCGGCCGGGTCAACAGGGCTGCCAGGGTCGGCAGGGGTGTCAGGGTCGGTGGAGGCACGGAGGATACTGGCTTTGCTGCAGCGACTGCGAGAGCCGCTGGTGGCAGCACGGGGCAAGCTGCAGGCGGGCAGTGCGGAGGCTGTTGCTGTGGAGGAGGCTGCTCGCACTGTTGAGGGGGACCTGCTCCTCCTGCTGGGTGAAGCGGGGCAGGCGGAGGGGCGAGAAGGGGACGGGGGAGTGGGGGAGGAGAGGGATGGGGACGCGGGAGGGCAGGGGAGCGCGGAGCAGGGCAGAGGGGAGCAGGGGAGGGGGGATTTGAGGGTGCGTGGTGGGGATGAGGAGGGGGTTGTGGTGGAGGGAGAAAGGGAGGAGGTTGGGATGAGAGTGGATGGATTGGGGGATGGAAGGAGGGATGAGGGGAAGGTGGATGGAGGGGAGGGGAGGGCAGGAGAGGGGGTTGCAGCAGGGGAGGTTTGTGAAGAGGATATAGCCCCAAGAGCCTCTTCGAATGATGGTGCTGCGGATGCTGCTGCGTCTGCTCGCGTGCCACCGTCAGCAATGTCATCAGCAGCAGCAGAAGCAGCAGCAGAAGCAGCAGCAGAAGCAGCAGCAGAAGCAGCAGCAGAAGCAGAGAGGCAGGTGTTGGGAAAGACTGACAGTGGCGAGGTGGATGAGGCGTTGGAGGGAGCAATGAAAGACAGCGGGGCACAGGAGCGGGTGACTGCAGAGAGGGGAAGAGAGCAAGGGGTGGGGAAGGAGGGTGTGCGGTTTGGCTTGGCGGGAGAGGAAGAGGAGGAAGGCCGCGGGAGTGGTGAGGCGGGGAGTGGTGAGAAGGAACGTGAGGGGCAGCGGCCGTGGGATGGAGGGGAGAGAGCAGCGGGGAGTGGGGAAGGTGTTGGTGGGGCGGTGGGAGTAGGGTCAGAAGCAGGGCGGAGAGAGCATCATTCAGCATCAGCTGTAAAGTTGCCATGGCCTGCTGCAGTGGAGGCGGTAGGGCCTCATGCTGTGTTGGCAGGAGGTGATGCGAGGGAGGTGGAGCTGTCATTCAAGGAGAGCTTGAGCCGGGAAGATAAAGGGATGCATGCTCGTGGTGGCGAGGAGGGGCAGGGTCGCTATGATGACAGGAGCAACTACCGCCGCTCCCATCACCAGCGTCAGCTGCAGGAAAAGCAGCAGCAGCAGGAGCAGGAGCAGCAGCAGCAGAAGGAGCAGCAGCAGCAGCAGCGGCGGGAGAAGGCACACAAGCAGCCGTCAATGGAGGGCGTTTCTGCGCTGGAGCTTCAAGCAGCGCTGCAGCAGGTGGTGAACCTGGGCGCAGCCATGGACAGCACAACACGTGGGGGAGGAGAACGAGGAGAAAGAGGAGGAGGAGGAGCGAAAGGCAAGGAGGAGAGCACTGGGAGGAGGGGCAGGGATGGGGAGGACGGGAAAGGGACCGGCACTATCAAGTTGGAGCATATGGATGGGTACGAGCATGCATCAGACAGCGCTAGCAGCAGCTGCTGCACCCACCGGGGTACACAACCCAGAGGTGGTGCATCTGGCGATGCTCCTGCTGGTTCTGGCGCTGCTCCTGCTGGTTCTGGCGCTGCCTTTGCTGCTGCGGGTAAAATCGATGCTGGATTGGCTGGTGCTGGCGGCAGCAGTACCCAAGGAAGCTTGCGTGGTGACTTGTGGCCTCTGTCCCACGCCAAGCCGACTCGCTTCAAGGAAGGCAGTGTGGACAGCAGTGGGGTGGGCAGCCGAGCAGTCAGTGCCATGGGCAGTGCGGTAGGAAGTGGGGCAGGCAGTGCGGCAGGCAGTGGCATGGGGAGTGCAGCAGACTCTGGGGCTGACTCTGGTGTAGACGCAAGGCAGCAGCACAGGCTGAGGCTGCAGAGGAGGGAGAAGGAGCGTGCGGTTACCATTGCGGGCGGCAGCAGCAGCAGCAGCGCTGTTGGCGGAGCGGTGGCGAGGGGTGGAGTGGTGTCGATGACGGTGGAGGGCGGTAAGGTGGTGGTGTCTGGCACTCTCAAGTACACACGAGAGGTGCGCTTCTCAGGGATATGGTCCCAGGATGGCCTTGACATTACCTCTGCTGCTGCTCTTGCTCATCCTGATCATACTCATACTCTTGCTGCTGCTGCTGCTGCTGTTAATGCTGATCATGGTGATGACCATGGTGCTATAGTGGTGCATCACAAGGGCACTGCTGCTGCTGCCACTACTGCTGCTGCTGCTGCTGCTGCCTCTCATGCTTCCGGTAAGGGACCGCAGGTGCGACGACCCAGGAGTGGCGGCAGGGCGGAGAAGAGCAGAGGCAGAAAGTACCGTCTGTCACGGCTGGGGAATGTGGTGGAAAATGGCGGTGGGAGTGAGGAGACGAGTGGGGTGAATAGTGGAATGGGGAGTGAGGGCGTGAGTGAGGTTGGGTGCGAGGGAGTGAGTGAGGGGGGGAGTGAGGTGGTTATGATGCAGAGAGGGAGGCGGGGGAAGAGCCGGAGCAGGAGCAGGGAGAGTGGAGGCGCTGGTGGGTCATTAGGTGGCAGTGGGAATGTGAGTGGGAGTGGGAGTGCGAGTGGCAGTGGGTGGAGCAGCAGAGGAGTGGAGGCAGGGGCGAGGAGAAGGAAGGGAAAGAGCAGGATGGGGTTAGCGGCAGAGAGCGGTTCAGTGGGTTCAGCAGGGAGTGCAGTAGGAGGGGTTGAAGCAGATGGAGCAACTCGGGAAGGGAGTGGGAGAGGAAGGGGAAGAGGGAGGGCGAGAGGGAAGGGGAGAGGAAGCGGTGTAGAGGCATTAGGTGCAGCTGCAGCAGCAGCAGCAGCAGTAGTAGAAGCAGCAGAAGCAGAAGCTAAGGCAGTGGGAGGGGCAGGCAGGGTGGCTATTGGGCAGCCGGGTATTGGGGCAGTGCAGCAGGCACAGAGGAGTGAAGAGGGCGCGCGGAGCGAGGGCAAAGGAGAGACGGATGGGGAGGAGAGGCAGGATGAGGAGATGCATGGGGATGGTGGCGTTGCTTGCGGTGATGTCTGCAGCAGCAGCAGCAGTGAGGATGTGTTCTACGAGGCGAGGGAGATGGTGAGCTCACCAGGGTCGGCGGCAGGTTCGGTGGCAGGTTCGGCGTCGGTGTCAGCATCGGATGATGAGGGCATGTGGAGTTGCAACTCCTCTTCCCGCATGCTCAACGCCCGCACTACTCTACCTTCCCCTGCCTACGCTGCTGCTGCCACTTGTCCTGCACCTGATGCCAGCGCTGCTAGTGCTGCCACTGGCAGTGCCACTGCCGTGGGCACTCTCAGTGCACAGCTCCTCACCCCCAGCAGCAAGGACGACGCAGCACGTCCACTGGAATCCGTTGCTCCTGCTGCCAGCATTGCCAGCAAGGAAGACACAGCTGCCAGCATTGCCGCTGCTGCTCCCGCCATCGCTGCAGCTTCTGCTGCTCTGGCTGTTGTTGCTGCTTCTGCTTCCGCCCCTTCCACATCACCTCCATCTGCTGCCATATCCCCCCCTGCTACCTCTGCTTCGGTTCCTGCTCCTGCTGTGCCTTCACCTGTCTCTGCCTCCTCTGCTGCCTCAACCGCCCCTGCTGCTGCCACTACTACCGACACATCTTCCGTTGCTACCACAAAATCTTCCACCGCTACTGCCCCAGCCACCGCTGCTGTCACTTCTCCTCCCACCACAACCCCAACCCCATCACCCCCCCCTCCAGAAACACTCTACACCCGCTCCCCGTCCCCTCCCCTCCCCTCCTCCAACCCCTTCTCCTTATCCCCCTCCAACCGACCTCCCTCCTCCTCCTCGCCCTTCACGCACCCGCCCTTCCGCCCACTCCCTCCCGATGCGCAGCTGCTGCTGCAGCGCTCCATGATTCCCCACCCACGCCGCAGCCCCTTGGGAATCCGCCGCACAGTCTCCGATCTCACAGCCGAGGTCAGTGCTCTCAGGGCCGCCTCTGTCTCTGCTGCTGCCTCTGCCGCTGCTGCTGCTGCGGCGGCGGCTGCTGCGGCTGCAGCTGCTGGTGCAGCTGGTTCAGGCGCTGCCGCTGGTGGTGCCTTTGGTGGGGGTGCGGGTCCGGGGTTTGGTGGTTTCGGCGCGGGCAGTGGCAGCAGCAGTGGCGGCGGAGCAGCAGTGAATGCGCGGCGCCGTGCCGCAGCGATCTCAGCGCTGAGAGCAGCAGCTCTGGAAGGGCAGCTCCAGCAGTCGAACCACTCAGGAGTGTACTCCAAACGAGCAATGGCAGGGCTGGGGGGGTTGGGAGGAGCGGGAGGGGATGGTGGAGGGAGCTGGGGAGGCGGGGCTGCAGGAGTGGGGTTCGGGGGAATGGGTGGGAGAGGGGTGGGGATGCGAGGAGGAGTGGGGGAAGGGCTGGGGGAGGATATGCTATCAGGCACACCTGCGGCCGTGTTTGGGCGGAGCAGCAGTGGGTTAGGCAGCACAGGAGGAGGTGCAAGCACAGGGCTGTCTCCCGTACACGTGAACATGGGTATGGGTATGGGCATGGGCATGGGCATGGGAGTGAATAGAGCAGCTAGTCCAGGTGCTGTCTCCATACCTTCCCCAGGCCTATCGGGTCCTTCTTGGCAGCTTCTCTCTTTTCCTGAGGACTTGGCTACCAGTTCCCGCCCCTCCTCCTCCTCACACACTCTCACCCCACAATCTGCCTCTCGCACTCCCTCTGCTCTGGCTCCTGGCGTGGCGGATTTCCTTTGGGGATCGGGCAGTTTCCGGGGTGTGCTAGAAGGGCCGGGGCTTTTCCACTGGGGTTCTGGCAGTAGTACCAGCAGAGGGGGATGGACGGCAGGGGGAGAGGGGGGAACGGGCGGAGGAGGAGGAGGAGGCGGGGACGGGAACGGTGCAGGGGAACGGGGCGGGGGAAGCAGCGGGGGGAGAGCGGGGCTGGGGAGTGGAGGCGGGGGGAGCCGAGGCGGCACGGGGGGGAGCGGGGGGAGCATTGGGCGCTTAGGGAGTGGGGGGGGGCGCAGTAGCGGGAGCGGCAGTGGGGGGTCAACAGGGTCAGGGTACCGATTTGCAGTGCCGATACAGCGGGCAGTGGCAGAGACAGATGACTACGAGGAGGGGCAGGTGTGCCCTCTGTCGCGCTCTAACAGTGCTAATCTGGATGTGCTGCTGCATGGCATGCACTCAGGACACTCTGTGCCGTCCCCGTGGGATAGTGCGGACATGGATGGGGTTGTGGATGGGCCAGGCATGGGTGCTGCTGGTGGGGATGGTGGGGAGAGTGGGGCTGGTGGGGTGAGTGAGGTGGGTTCAGCAGCAGCGGCAGACGTGGGTGTAGGGGCGGAAGGGGTGGGTGAGGGTGAGGGAGTTGGGGAGGAGAGGAGGGAGGGGGGTTTTGAGGGGCAGATGGGGGAAGGTGTTGCAGAGGAGGGGAGAGGACTGGGAATGGCAGGGAGGATGGGTGGCGAGGGTGGGAGTGACGCAGAGGGTGAAGGGAGGGAGGGCGAGCAGGGAGATGCAGGGAGACAGGACGTGCAGGTGGGTGGGGGTGGGCGTGGGGGTGCTACTGGTGGTGCTGGTGGCGGAGGAGAAAACGAGGTGCAGGAGGGTGCAGATACGGAGATTGAGCCAGTGACTTTCGTTCCACCCAATGCTTCTGCTGTCGCCTCTGCTGCTCCTGCCTCTCCTGGTGCTCCGGGTGCAGTTGCAGCTGCTGCTAGCAAAGCTGACAGTAACCTGGGTAAGCTGGTAGGTGAGGGAGGAGGTGGAGGAGGAGGAGGAGTTGGAGGAGGGGTTGATATACGAGAGGAGGAACGTGCAGCAGCAAGCACAGGTGCAGGACCAGACGGCGAGAGCCCAAACCATCCATCTGCCGAGCCTGGGGAAGGAGCAAGGGCGCGCGGAGGAGTCAGCATACCCACCCAACCGTCAACCTCCTCACTCACACCCACCCAGCCCTCCCCCCATCCATCCCGCCACCCCGTCACTCAACCAATGCTGCAGTCTCAATCCCAGCCCATCCAGCAGCCTGTGCCTCCGCCTGTAATGCGCCCACAGAGCCCGCCATCGCACCAGCGCCCGCTGTCTCCTCTCAGGCACCACCAGCACCGCCTGCAGCCATCACTGCTGGGTCGCCGCCCTGCCTCCCCCCACACCGCGCCCGCTGCTGTCGGCGGCATCGCCTCCTCTGCTGGCCCACAGCCTCAGCTGTCCACCGCACTGGCTTCTCCTGCTTCTCCTTCCGCTGCATTCTCTGCTGCTCCTTTGGACGATTTTCCTGCACTGGTGGTGGTGCCTCAACGCGGGGGTTTGGATCGCGGTGGGCTTGCTGCCTCTCCCTCTGCCTCCTCGCCCTCCTCGCCGCACCTCACCTCTCCCGCGTCGCCTGCTTCTCCTGCCTCCCCGGCCTCTCCTGCTCCTGCTGACAGCAGCAGTATCTGTGGGCCTTCACCTGCTTTTGCTCCAAGAGCAGTGAACCCATCAGCTTCACCCATACACTCTTGGATCGCTGCTACCACGTCCGCTGCTGCTAATGCCAACCACACCGCCACCCACCCCACCACCGCCACCGCCACCACCGCCACCACCACCACCACTGCGACCAGCACTGGTACCCCTTTGATGCCTTCTCTCGCTGCAGCAGTCGCCCCTGCTGATGCCCCAGACACAGAATACCCCACGCCTGATGTCCCTGCAGGCGCAACAGCAGGCATGAGCGAACCCACCCCCTCCTCACCACCCACTGCATCACTCTCAACAGCATCTGCGGCAGCGCCAACAGCAGCAGCAGCAGCAGCAGCAGCAGCAGCAGCAGAGGCGGCAGCGCCAGCAGACATGGGGCTGAGTCTCGGGGGAGACATTGTCAAGGATGCCCGCGTCGCTGCACGCATTCTGGAGCAGCAGCAGCAGCAGCAGCAGCAGCAGCAAGGGGGAACGGTACCGGTCCGCGCGTGGTCTAACAGCAGCAGGGTCAGCAACAGCAGTGATGCTGATGGGGCTTCTCCTGCTGCTGCTGCTGCTGGTGCTGCAACGGTTGCTGGTGCTGCTGTTGCCTCTGGGGCTAGCGATGGGGCTCTTGGGTTGGCGTGCAACCCTCCTCTGCTGGTGCTTCGTGCTGCCAGTGCTTCTGGGCCGGAGCCTGCGCCCCTGCAACCACCCTCGGTGCTTGTGAGTCAAGAGCGAGGGCTCGCATCTGTGATTGCCGGGCCACCGCCACTTGCGACTGCAGCACCAGCACCTGCATCTGCTGCATCATCAGCATCTGTCGCAGCAACAGCAGGAACAGCAAGAACAGCAGGAACAGCTGCATCTGCTGCTGCTGCTGCTGCTGCGACAGCTGCTGCTGCTGCTGCGACAGCTGCTGCTATTGCCAGCAGCAGTGTGGCGAGTCCGAGTGTGAGTGTGAGTGCAGCAGAAGAATCGGTGGTGGAGGGTATGAGAGAGCCGGGGATGATGCCTCTGGTGCAGGCAGGGCGAGCTGTACCAGAAGACAGCCTCACTGCCCTTAGTCACAACAGCAGCATCGCCTCTACCACCCCTCCTCCTGCTCCTGCACCTGCTGTGATTTCTGCTACTGCCCCTGCTGCAGCCCCTGCCACTTCTGCTACCAGCAGTGGCAGTGGCAGTGGTGGTGCTGTGGTATCTGGAAGCAGGGTGAAAGGGGACAGTGGTGGAGCAGGGGGGAGCAGTATGAGTGGCAACAGCAGCCCAGGCTATTCAGCAGCCACCAGCCCTACTTTACCTGCTGCTGTAGCTGCTGCTGCTGGTCCTGGTCCTGGTTCAATGGGCAGTCCTGCAAGCGATTTGGGTCAGCATCATTACTACCACCACCACTACCACCATCACCACCACCACCACTTGCGCGTCTTCCCCTCCTTCCGGAAACGGAAGCAGAGGTACGTAGAAGCCGAGAGACTGGCTGCTGCTGGAGCTTATAACGCAGTAGCCAGTATGGGATACGCGCCTGCTGTGGGCAGCAACGTGGGCGTGGGTGGCAGTCCAAGCACAGGTGCAGGTGCAAGGACAGGGAATGCTCACGCAGGCATGATGAGGACGCCCTCTGCTTCCTCTGCCACTCCCAGCAGCGACAGTACCGGGAGCAGTGTGAGGGGCCCCGGGGGCGTGGCAGGCATAGTGGCGCGCACAAGAATCGGCGGCAGTGGCAGGAGAAGCAATGCTGCTGCTGCTGCTGGTGTCGGCAGTGCGGGAGGGACTGGAGGGGGTGTATCGCCGTTTGGGTCCTCCCCAGCAACGGAAGGTGCTAGCGATGCAGACACCATGGCAGACCAAGAGGATGCGGTGAGTTGCTTCGGTGCACGCTTGTGTAGGACTTAGTGCTGTTCGCACTTTCATCCGCACTGCCGTACATACTTTTCAAACCCTAACCCATATGCTCCCTTCCATGCTGACATGCTGTCCTCAATGCCCGTGTCTAGCAATACCGATTCATGCGTTGCCAACCTGCCCCTCACCCTATTGCCCTTTTTTTGCCCTTGTGTTCCACCCCTTTTTCAGGATGTTCTGCTCACCGCACGGAGAAGTGTGGGGCTGACGTGCTGCGTCCGGCCACATGTTTTTGATTGACACTCACGAAATGGTGTGAATGGATGTTGAGTGGAGATGTCTAATCAGGTCAGTAGACTTCAGTTGACTTCAGTCTACAACTACCTTCATTTGTTTGTGCACCTGCTAATTTGTTGTGAACTGACTGGCGCTGCTGCATTCGAGTAGGAATCTAAGGCCATATATGAATTCGAGAACATATTGCAGCCCACTTGACCAAAAAAAAAACCCCACCTCGGAAAGGGATGCGACTCGGGAGGCATCAACCCTAAAAACAATGCCCATTTCCGTGTTTAGGGTTGACCCCTCTCGAAAAATGCATCCAGGTCCCTAGGGGTTATATTTTTTTCTGCCATGCCCGAATAGGTCTCGGTAGCATCGTCCAGTGCTTTCGCTAGCGTTGTTTAGAGGTCGGTTGCGCTACTGAGCACTACCAAGTGAATTATATGGGCTTCATTCTCTTACTACCTTAATTTCCGTACATATATCTAAGTCGAGAGGGTAGACTGGATGGTTTTGTTTTTGTCACTTCCTAGTGAGTTCGACCAGCGTGAGAAATGTGACTAAAAATCGACGACCAATCAAAGTTGAGAAACTCCAGGTTGATTACACCTGAGGACGCGCTCAGGCGAAATCTGAGTATCGGAGATAATGGCCGTTTTCTTTTCCCCAGTTACCTTGTTTCTACAGAGTGCGCACTGAAATTTGAAACACCTACTGCACTTCCTGGCTTCCACACACTCGAACGGAATCGCCTTGTCCCGCCGCCACAACTCCTGGGCAGAAATAAAATATTGAAACTCTGCAGCTTCAACAAGCATGTGATATTGTTGCGCTGTAGCAATTGATAACGATAAAACTTAACAAAGTGTTCTCAAATCAAGTGTCCCTCATCTCCTCTGCTTCCCGCCAGCCTTCTTGGATCCGCCCTCCTCCCCCACACTACCTGCGCCAGGCTTCTATGCTGCGCTTCTCCAAGCCTGCGGACGGGACTCGGGCTGACAATGTCGGCCACAGAGAGAGCCGAGCAGAGAGGGAAAGCTTGTGCGTCGAATCCCTCCCCTTACCTCGAGTCTGTCCCTAGTGTAGATCGTACAGTTTCGCTGGTGATCGTGGTTGGATTGTCGTGGGTACGCACACACACCATTCCTGGCGGTCTTGGGAGCTCCAGTGGATGTTCCGCAGCTGGGCTGATCCATTCCTAAATAACACAGGCGCGCCAACGTTGCTTGTCTCTCTGCAATGCTTAGATGGTGGCGCGCTCCGTGATTCCGTCTGTGCTCGTGACTTGACATCTGGCCTTTTTGGTGCTTCACGGTGCCACGCGCTGGTTGCTGCAGGCGGCGGGATTCGCGGGAGATGCAAACTTAATCAATCCGTCGAAAGCCGCTATCAAATTCGTTGAGTCGACCTTGGCTCGAATCTCGCTCCTACTCGCCTTCAACGATGCGAATCTTGCTTCCTTGACCAGCTCTTCCCCTTCCGTGCGAAACCACGTTCTCCCTTGTAAGGGTCTGAACTGGCGAAAGGAACATATCAGTAGCTCTCCGCTACAGCAACTCTTCATGGTTCCGCCGTAGGCCGGCAAGCGGATTTTGAACAGCCCTGGACAGCGAATGTAACCACATACCATCACAGCTTGCAACTGCTGTCTGGTACCACGATTCGATTCCCCCGGTTGCCTTCACTTCATCTCCGTGCCTTTCACACCGTAATCACTGGCATCCATTCCGGAATCCCGGGTGGCCGCGTCAGCGGTGACGTCACTCGGGGTGTCGTCCCCGCCACCCGCTCCGCTCGCGTCGTCGTCACTCGACCGGCACAGGCGGCGGCAGCGGGCCGTGCTGGACTGGGGGAGCAGCGTCGCGGGAGCGGCGGCGAGTAGCAACATGTCGCGGCCAATGGCGCTGGGGCTCGTGCTGCTCGTGCTCTTCCTCACGTCGCAGTCCGAATGGCGGTCGTCGCGCTCCCACATGGACGCCGCCGCGTCCGCCGCGTCGAAGCAGATGCGCGTGGAGAAGCACCGGGATGGCGTCAAGGAGAAGGTGCGCGCGCATCGCTTATTCCTCCGTGCATGCTCCACGCTTTCTTTCCTACTCACGTCCCTCTTTCCTCCTTTCCCGCTCCCGTCCGAATCTTTGTTGTCTGCTTTTGTTTCATTATCATTAGTATCTATTTGACTTACCCGCGAGTCGCGCATTCTCATTCTCTTTTGGGAGGTCTCCGTCGCATCGTTTAGATTGTCCCTGCGCCTAGGGTTCCCGTTGTCTGTCACACCAAATGCTTCTGACATTAAAAGTATTACTCATAACTCGTTTTTCCCTATATCGCATTCGCGTAGCGATGCCATGCCGCGTATTTCCGCGCCTCGGCACGGTGCTTAACGAAAGATGTTGTTCTCCCACCGTCAGATCATCATGGATCTAATGGCGGAGAACAAGCGTCTGGAGGCGGAAAGGGAGCGGCTTCGGCGCGTGGTGGAGGAGATGCAACGGCGCCTGGTGGCGTGCTGCCATGCCAACCCGCACCTCGACACCTTCGAGCCCTCCACTCTCAGGCCCTCCTCTCGCCTCTCCCCGCAGACCCTGGATGACCGCTTCCTCTCCTCCTCCTCCTCTTCTTCCTCCTCTTCCTCCTCCTCTTCCTCCTCCTCCTTCCCCTCCGCATCCACCTCCTACTCCTCTGCCTCCTCGTCTGCTTCGTCCTCATCTTCTTCTGCTTCCTCCTCCTCCTCCGCCTCGTCCTCTTCCGCCGCCCTCCCCTCAATCACCAGCGGATCCTCCCACGCCGTGATGTTTGGGCAGCCAAATACTGATTCCCCAGGCATGCAGCGACAGGCTGGCGCGCAGAGCGACGGCGGGCGGGAGTATAAGCGGCAGCAGCTGCTCACTCGCAGGCACGTCGAGGAGGCGTTAGCGGGAGGCGGTGGCTTCGACGCTGATCCGCAGGAGCAGGAGCAACAGCAGGAGGAGGAGGAGGAGGAGCAGCAGCAGCAGCAGCAGCAGCAACAGCAGCAGTTGACGCAGCAGCTGCAGTCGCAGGTTCAGCAGCAGCAGTTACAGCAACAAGTGCAGTCTCAGCAGGCTCAGCAGCAGCAGGCGGATGGAGGCATGATACAGGGAGGAGCAGCTGTGATCGGGCATATGACTCGCTTCCGAGGGTTCCGAGAGCACCAGCAGCGACAACAGCTGCGACGGGAGCAGCAGCTGCAGCCGCAGACGCAGCAGCAGCACCTGTTGTTTCCACTGATTGTGCAGGAGGAGAAGGTCGGGAAGCAGGTTCAACGGCATACCTTTGATCAACGTCAGCAGCAGCAGTTGGCTGTGCCACAGGGGCAAGGAGAGTTCGAATCTCAGGAGCTTGAGGAGCAGCAGAGCTCATATGCGGGTAGGAGCAGTTTGAGCAGCAGCTCTGGCAGCAGCATGGCTAGCAGCATTGCAAGCAGTGGGGAGGGCAGTGCACGGAGCAGTGTGCATGTGATGCAGGAGAATGGTGTGGGTGCTGATGTGCTTGCAGGTATGGGTGCAGTGCGGTTTGAAGAGGAATCCAGTGGTAGTCAAGGGGGCTCAGGTGCATGAGCTGTGCCCTGCGCTTGCTCATTGACTTGCGATGATTGCTTGTGTGCCTTTTCCCTTTCCTTGCATGATTTTTGTGTGTATGCTGTGTGTTTTAGAGAGGAGGCGAACAGGGGAAGAGGAGGGGGTGTTTGTTGGAACGAGTGGCAGAGGAGAGGAAGAGGACAGGGCAAAGACATGGCTGTGAACCTCAGAATAATGGCATTGCAGGTGCACATGCGTATGTGGGAGTCTAGAGTAAAATCTACTTTAGGTGACCTACTTATGCAGCGGCCCTGGCCTGGATTAGGCTGTGTTTCCATTATGCACAAGTTGGTTATTTCAATTAGGCCATTATGCACATACAATTCAAGGAAAGCTGTGTATTTCAGTGTTGGTAATTTCATGTAAAATTACACACTGGCTGGGCCTTTATTTAGATGCTCAGTTGATTTGGAATGTCCTGATCATAATCTCGTGATTACAGTAATTCGATTTACCCGCACTGCGTACGCGGGAAAGATGGGGCGGGAAACGGCGGAGGGAACCTTGCCTTCCAGATCAGGCCTGTCGATTCAAGGGCATATGCCCTTAAAACCCGCGTCCCAAATTGCGGGCCGCGAGGGTCAAGTTTTTAAAACTTGACGAAGTTGAGTGTCCAAGCTTTTGAAAGTCACGCACTTGCAATTTGGGGACTTTCGAAGACAGATTCACTCACCAGGGGGAAAACCGAGGGCTGGCTGGGTCTCGCGAAAAAAACGAACCTAGACGAAATCGGAAACTCTCGCCAAAGCCCACACCAGAAAAACTCCCTCTGGTCAACTTTTAAAAGCATGAACAATTTGGGCCGCCAGTTTTAATGCCCTGAACATTCCGGGCTACTTTCACTCCAGCTCGACTGCATAAAGTGTTAGATCCGCACAGCACCCGTGCCACTAAGTGCCTCGTTCGACCCTTCCCTGGATGCGTTAAGTGCCCAAACCAGGCCTCCCCTGTCTCAAAGTTTTGGTTTCCGGTGGTAGGACACCCCCCCCAAATTCTGCCTGACTCCCCCCCCTCTTTCTCCTTAGGTTGCACGAGAGGAGTGGATTTCTCTTAGCGTTTTCTAGCCAATCCTGTGTTTATAAAGTGTCTAAGTCAGCTTGGAGCACTTGAATTTTCCCTTAACGTCTAAGTGGAAACTCTTCACAAGCCCGGATTTCAAGTTTTCACTTTGGGGTGCGCCCGTGACCGTTAAAGGCGCCCAAACGCTCAGCTACACCCAAAACAGGGTCAGATGGGGAGGAGCTGGGGAGCGCAAGTATGGGCCCCAGGAACTTCGACAGGCCTGTTCCAGATCTGTTTCTGCTGCTGCCAATCAACTCACCCGTCTTCAATGCTCCTCGAGGTTGTTTAGGGCGTATCTCTGGTTCCGGTCACTTGCACTGTTCATTCAACTGTTCGGGTCATGCGTAAAATGCGCATGACCCGAAGTGGGCTTCCGAGCCGCGCGGGGCCCCAGCTTTGGATCAATGTGCAGGTGTTGGGCGACTGACGTGCACGACCCTCCCCCAACCAATCACCTGGTTGCACGATTCACGTCAGATTGCCATCTTTTTGGCCGTCGTCAGTCGAGTGCCACAATTTTGCAATGCACCGTATTCTATACCTCTGCACCTAACCACTCGGCAAATTGATCCCAGTGACCCCCGAATGTGTCTTGAATTTCCCGCGTCGCGCTCCCAACATTTTGGGATTCATGCCGACATTTTTTACGATTTTGATTTTAGATGGGTGTCGCATGGTTTTGCGTGGGTGTAGCAAATGATATTTCGAACTGTTCTGGCATCCTTCCATTGGATGCGACTGTTGTTTGGGGTGTAATATTGGCGCGAAAAAGCCTCGCGCCAATTTGGAGGTCGCATGAGTACAAGTGACCCAAAGTGGTGTTTTGTGTTGTTCCGGGCATCCGCAATTCGCGCATGCCCGGAACAGTGCAAGTGACCGGAACCAGAGATACGCCCTTAGAAGCCTTGTGCGCGTTGGAAATAAATCTAGATTGACACAAGCGACGGTGACTAGGAGATACTGAAGCTTGATACGCTGCCGCCAGCACTGCACCTCCGATATGCCTTGCCTCAGCCCGTCGGCGTCTCGGCAACAGCAGCTGCAGCAGCAGCAGCAGCAGCAGCAGCAGCAGTTGGAGCCATTGCCGCATGTCCATTCGCAAGCGGAGTTGGAATGTACGGATGTGTTTTCGCGCATACCCGACGATCTGCTCGGCCACATCCTGTTTCTCGTCGCATCCAACGGCTCCGATCCCAGATCTGATGCCGCAACACCGGATCATGCTCCCGTCGATTACACCTGGGATCCAACCGCCTCTCTCTTTGTGACTGCTGCGTCGTCAGGAATGACGTCGTCAACGTCAACGTCAACGTCGTCGTCGTCGCCATCGTCTGCATCCCCTCAGCCGCTGTTTTTTTTCGATCACGCGCTCGTCTCGCAGCGATGGCTCCGCGTGGCGCGCTCCGTGCATCCCGCGATCGTCGTTCAAAGTCGTCGCCACATCTCGTCGCGACTGCTCGCGTCAGCCCTCCTCTCAGCGCCGCCGTCCCAACACTCCTTTCCTTCACCCAATCCGCACCACCCCTCGTCGCCTTCGTACCCTCCTCCTTTCCCTCCCTCTAATCCTCCCTCCCCCTCCCCCTCTCCCTCTCCCGCGCGCTTCCCCAACCTGCGTCATCTCCATGTGGGGCGCGACGCGCTCGACGCGATCGACGCCACGCTTCTCAACGCCATCGCCTTGGGCTGCGGCTCCACGCTCACGCACCTCAGCATCGTGGAGGACACGTGCAAGCAGCACCAGCAGCAGTCGTCTGCTACCGTTCAGCCGCGTAGCAGCAGAAGTGGCAGCGGCGGTGGCAGCAGCGGGAACGACGGAGACGACGGCAGTGGTGGTAGCGGCGGCAGCAGCAGCAGCAGCGGCGGCAGCAGCAGCAGCAGCGGCGTCAGCAGCAGCAGCAGCGGCGGCAGCATTTCCATCATCTTCGACAATTGCACTCGATTGGTGGACCTTACGATTTCTCTGCCCGTTTATTTGCTCCAGATGCCCGTTCCCACTCTGCCCGCATCCATCAGCAGCTTACAGCAGCTGACGCGGCTCTGCGTGACTCTGCCGCACGAAGTCACCGAGTTACCACCCGAGTTGGGCAGCCTGCGGTCGCTCAGGAGCCTGACGATCGTCGCGCCGTCACTTACGACGCTTCCCGGCACGTTCGGCGGGCTCACATTTCTAGAAGAGCTCGAGCTTGAGGGGTTACGAGTGGATGGTCTACCCAGCGGTCTATGGCAATTGAAAGCTCTGAGAAAGTTGATCTTTAGAATGATGGAAGAGTTGGTTGAGTTACCTGCCTCTCTCTCTCAGCTTTCACTCCTCACTCACCTACAGATTCACTGCTGCGGCGAGTTTAGCCGCCTGCCGGACAGTTTTGGGCAGCTGCAGCAATTGAGGGCACTCCAGCTGTTTTCGGTGGACCGGCTGCGTGTGCTTCCAGAATCTTTGGGCGAGCTGCCCGAACTGACCGACTTGGAGATTCGCAACTGCCGGTTTCTAACCATGCTGCCCAGGTCACTGCCTTCCTTAGCCACCCTCCAGCGGCTCACCATCCACGACTGTGGAGATTTTTCCTCGTTGCCCGAAAACATTGGGCAGCTTCCAAATCTGGAGGAACTGGATATTGATTCTATTGATATAACTGCCATTCCTAATAGCCTGGGGCGCCTCACCTCTCTGCAGAAGCTGTGGGTGTGGGACTGTTCAAGGCTCCAGAGCCTCCCAGAGTCTGTATCATGCATGGTCTCGCTCTCGACCGTCCGTTTGGACGGTTGCGTTTTGGAGGAACTTCCAGAAGATTTCGGGCTGCTTCGGAATCTTCGTTATCTGGATCTGTCCCGCCTTCGAAACCTTCATTCGTTGCCCAGATCTTTTGGGCAGCTGAAATCATTGAAAGACTTCAAAGTGATAGGCTGCGCTGCACTCACTCTCCCTTCGGGTTCCACATTCAATCTCTCTTCGCTGGAGTCGCTGCTCGTGCGAGGCCATACACCAATCGGATCGTTCCCTTCCAGCTTCGGGCATCTGCCAAACCTCAATGCGCTTGAGCTCAGCGCCGGCTGCGAATTCGACGCGCTGCCCGGCGCTGTCGCCAGCCTGCCCAAGCTGGAGGTGCTGAAACTGAACAGAGGCGGCTGCTTCGGAAGAGGGCCACAGCACGTGCCAGCAGACTTTTCTCAGCTGGCGCCCGCCCTTCGCATTCTGGAGCTGGACGGACTCTGGCAGCTTGAGTTTCTCCCTGAGTCGCTCACCCTCCTCACGCGCCTGCAGCGGCTGAGCATTGCGGACTGTGAGCAGCTGCGGGGGTTGCCGGAGGGCTTGGGGAACCTGGCTAGTCTCACGGAGCTGGAGCTGAGCTCCTGCCCCCGGCTCCACCTCTTCCCATCGCTTCTCCCTGCTCTGTCGCCTCTTGCACCGGTTCCCACCGCCTCAGCTTCCCTCCCTCCTGTTCCGACCGCCTCAGCTGCTCCTTCTCCTGCTGCTTCCTCCACAGCACCCATCGCCACCACAGTAGATACCTCATCCCTTACTTCCGTGCGCGCTTCTGACGTTGTCCCTTCAACCGACTGCTCTTCCCATTCACCTACCCCTCCCCCCCTCCCATCCCTCCTCCTCCTGTCCATCCGTGACTGCCCGTTGCTCATCTCCCTCCCCAGCGACCTCCATCAGCTGCCACGTATCAAGACATTCCACCTTGAAAACTGCCTGAATCTGAAACCCATATTCCGGCCTACTTTCTCCTCCGCCCGTTCTGATTCTTCCACTGCGTCACCTGCTTCAGACCCCAGCCCAGCAGCACCGCCACTATCCTCCCCTGCGTCCCTCACCGGTCTCACCATCTCACGAGCATTCAACCCAGCCACGTGCCTTCCACCCTCCGTCCTCACCCTCTCACGCCTTCACACCCTCGCACTGACTCACTTGCCCTCACTCAAGCAGCTAACCGCCCCCATGGAAGACTCTTTCAGCTGTCTCTTGAGCCTCCACACCTTGGTTCTTGACACATGCGACGCCTTGTCGTCCTTGCCCGCTTCCCTGCCCTCCCTCCGTAATCTCTCCAGGCTCATCATACAATCCTGCCCGCGCCTCCTTCACCTGCCTGAGAATCTCGGGCAGTTGATTTTTTTGGAAGAGCTGGCCGTGGTGCACTGTGAGGGAATGACAGAAATTCCCTCTTCCCTCACTCTGCTCACCTCTTTGAAACAACTGAGCATTGTAAACTGCCCTAAAATATCCTCCCTCTCAGATCACCTTTCCTCCCTCTCCCACCTCTCCTCCCTCCGTCTCAGCCGCCTGCCTTCTCTCCTGCACCTCCCCTCCTCCCTCGCTCACTTCCCCTCCCTCCGCTACCTTGACCTTGAAGGCTGCTCCAATCTGAAGGCGCTACCAGAGGACTTGGGCAGGGGGGCTGCTCTCTGGAGAGTGGATCTAACTCGGTGTTCAAGCTTACAGAGCCTGCCGGTGGCCCTGTGCTCTGGCAAGGTTGTTGTTAGTGGGCCGTGGGGAGAAGATTGCAGAGAGGCTGCTCGAGATTTGTACGGGAAGTATTAGTGTCCTTAAAGGGGGCATAAGTAGATACGGGGTTGTGCAAAGGGGGAGGGTCTTGGGAAGAGTTCACTTGACGCGTGTGTGTATCGCAGAGGGCAGGTTGTGGTTTGTACCCGTATTCTCCCGGATGAAACACCCCCCCGTAATTGTACACCCCCGGGTAGCTAATACGGGGTGTTATATCCGACCCCTTTTGTACTATACCCCCCCTTTTGGGGTGATTTTCTATAATACCCTCCTTTTCTTATAGATTCCTAATATAGCTGTTATCGAGTCCGATTCCTTACGGGAGGATATCGCGAGAATTGCTCCCTAGGTGAAATTTCGCGTGTACTTTCACTTAAAATCTGCCAAGATTTCCCCCCTCCCACAATCACACTGTTGCCACCCTGGCGATTCTTCCGCTGCAAGTGGCCCAATAGGTGAAAATCACCTTCTCACATGAGGCACAGACACGTGACCAAACCAGTCAAGAAGTGACTGGTACAGTAAGAACGCACCACCGTGCGCGACTCTGGCCTCGGCGGTTGCATGAACCCTCGCCACACAATTGGCTTTGTTTTCACCCTATCAAGTGCCAAAATTGCCAACTCGAATATGCCACGTGGCAGATTCCAGTGGGCGGTCACGCTATCCTCCTATACTCGGTTTTGCGTCACTGGTCAACAATCTTGAAGTTAAGTCAGACACCTGATTTTGTTTCACATCTTTTCTACTTGATAAAAAATATACCATATAATAAGACCCGGGTATTATGTAGGATTTTCCTTTGAGGAGACCCCCCCCCATTTTTTCCCAGTGCTTTTCATAATACCCTAGGGTGTTTTATCCGGGAGAATACGGTACCTTCTATTGCTTACCAGTAGGTGATTTTTTTAGTGCCATGTCCAGTACCAAGCTTCCATGTTCTTGCTGAAGGCCAGAACATGCCGAAAGGATTCAAGGTCTAAGTTGGGGATACGGTAGCCATGCTGCCTCAAAGTGTACATTTGCTCCATGGCAACACCACATTCAAACAAGTATCAACGCCAGTACCTGTCGCCTCCAAACTGAATAGACTAATAAAATATAATCAAACACCAGCCCACGATAGTCTCAAGCTACAAGGGTAGAGACACTAGATTGTACACTTTCAACTATCTCGCTAGAAGAAATGCAGCACCAACTTCAGAAGCGAACCCCCGCCTCACGCAACTGGAATCTCAACAGCAGCAGGTCCAGCCTCTGGCGGGGCAACCTTGGCCATGGTGACAGTGAGCACGCCGTTCTTCATCTCCGCCTTGATCTGATTCGTCAGCACGTTGTCCGGAAGGGCCAGAGTTACCTGCAAAGCCAACGAACAGTACAGACGGTAAGATCAGAGGCAAGTGACGGTTCTAGTCGTAATGCGGACTATATCAATGCTTGTCCTGCACATTGGTCAGGACAGATATGGCAGCAACGTGACGAGGCGTCTCACCTGGTAGGACTTGGCGACGCGCGCATCCCGAAGCCCCTCTTCCTCCTCCCCGCCGGTCTCCTCCGCGGTCTCCACCTTGTGCTCTCCGCGAATCACCAGATCGCCATTCTCCAGCTTCACCGACACCTCCTCCTTGGACAGACCTGCATGCGGCGCGGGCGACGAGACGTGGTCTCACATCAAGCATCAGCCCATGGGATGGCATCAGCCGCCACGCAAGAACGCCAGCAGCCCAACGATGGCAAAAGACACATTGAACTTGCTTGCAACTCAGCATGATGAAGAGCTATTCAGGTATGAAACGGGAAGTGCGGCGGGCGGCGCACCTGGCATGTCGAGGCGGATGTGGAAGGCGTCGTCCGTCTCGCGCACGTCCCACGGCCTCCTCACGGCATCGCACCTTTTCCTGAGTATTCCTGCCAATATCTGGAAGTCAGGTTCGAATGTGCCTGACAGTTGGGTTCTCGATGTTGGTGCGAAATACTGGGTAGCGATTGCATGGAAACACAGTGTGCTTGAAGTGTTCGAGAATGCTGGAGCTTCGCCAACCACGGGCAGACTGCTGGGAGTCACGCGAAATGTTGCCATGTCAGCAGGGTTTGGATGGAATGTTGTTACACATGTCCTTTCGTAACATTTCATTATTTGTACTAGGGTCTAAAAACGGATAAAAGTTGACTCCTTTTAGAGTCACAAAATATACGACACTATGGAATCAAATTTGGAATAGATACATCCGTTATACTCAAATTGGCATAGAATAGATACATCCGTTATACTTCAAACTTGGTACACCAATTTACGCAAGCACGTAAAACAATTTCTCAAATGCTAATTTCTAATCGCTATATGCAATAAATTCGGCTAGATTAAAAAATCACAATATCATTAAAAAGGCAGTACATTTTACCTACGCCAATTGAGGACGCACACTTCACCGAAATCATAATGACCAGCTATAAGAGGAATATTGGCCCTGTCAATCCACCGCTCAATCTGGGCCTTCTTGATGTCCATTTTCCGCTTGTTTGATGACTGTTCCGAATGCAGACTACTCATGCTTGTGATCATGCTGTTCTCAACCTGACAGACAACCCTAAGAGTTGATCAGTACAGAAGAGGAGCTTTGCATTTAATATATAAACAGTTCAAACCACTCACCGCATACAGGGTGTAGCAGACTTGATCGATCGTGAGCGCAACATCTTCGGGGGGTTCCTTGTACCACGCACTGGCAGCGGTGATAAAGGCTGGGCTAGCTAGGGGATTTTTACCCAGAGCATGCCATGGCAGGCCAAACAACTCTGCAGCGACCAAAAAAGAAAAAATTAGAGTAGTCACAAATAGTGAAATCAACACATCAGTAACTCACCAGACAGGTAGTTCGTAGCGTAGTTCCGTCAAGCGTCGACGTCATTCGGGACGACTTTGTCAAGAGGATCTTTGAGAAGAGCATATGCACACTGCCGAAATTTGTCAGAATCCCAACCACTAGACCATTGGGATAAAAGGGCTTGTTTCAGTAGCGGGTCAGTGCGCCCATAACCCCCCAGGCAAACGCGCCTGTAACCCCCCCTAGGATCGATCGGGGATCTCACAGTGTAGCTCTACTGACACCCCCCCCACACTGGGAGGCCCAGGACTGAGCACAGTGGCAACGACTAACATGTGCATACACCGGGATTCGAACCCGAGACCGCTCTGATACCATGTCAGAATCCCAACCACTAGACCATTGGGATAAAAGGGCTTGTTTCAGTAGCGGGTCAGTGCGCCCATAACCCCCCAGGCAAACGCGCCTGTAACCCCCCCTAGGATCGATCGGGGATCTCACAGTGTAGCTCTACTGACAAAATTTGGTGCTAAGCTTCCCTCTCCTGCCATTGCAAAGAGTTATCATTTTATCGCCCCAATTTTTGTTCTTAAAATCAGAGTTGAACCTAGCAGCCTCTTCGACCTGCACATCTAGCACATCAGACAAAACGGCCTTGAACTCTTCGAGGGACGGATAGTGTCAGAATGTTCTTATCTAGCCTGTAGTGGGGTGCTCTATGGCGAGTACAACCCTGTTAGGGTTTGCTATTTGTATCCCCATTCTTGCTTGTTAATCACTCTTCTTTCTTCTAACTTTTGTCATGCTATCAGAGCAGGTCGATCCCCTTGGATCGATCCTGTGGGTGGGTTACCACCACCTCGTTGCTTCCGCTGCAACTTCCACTTCTACCCTCTATGCCGCACGCCCCGTGGCGTGCGGCAGTTTTTCTTCCCGCCGTGCGCCCCGAGGCGCGCGGCGGTTTTCTGCCCGCCGTGCGCCCCGAGGCGCACGGCGGTTCTCTGCCCGCTGTGCGCCCCGAGGCGCGCGGCGGGCTTCTGCCTCGTCGCTCGGCGCGTCGCCCTCGGGAGGCGCTGCGACGGGCGACGGGGACCCGCGCGCCGGCCCGTCGACGCCCGTGCGCCGCTGCCCCGGCCCGTCGCCGTCCGTCCCGGCCCCGCGCAGCTGCTCCGACCCGTCGCCGCCCGTGCGCCGCCAGCCCCGGCCCGTCGCCGCCCGTGCGCCGCTGTCCCGGCCCCACACCGCCCGTGCGCCGCCAGTCTCGGCCCCGGCCCCGCCTGCGCCCCCCCCCCCCCCCCCCTCCCCCCCTTTTCCCGTCGCCTGTCGAGGCGACCCTCGGGGGCCGTTACCGCGCCGCCCTCCCTTCTGCTGCCTGTCTTGGCGCCCTGGGCGGCCGCGAGTCGGTTCCCCCCCCCCCCCCGTAACCTCCCTACCCGCCATCCCGCCCTGCCTGAGTTAGGGTTTGGGGAGTGGCGAGTAGGGGGTGGCGAGTATGGGGGTGGCGGGTGTATGGTCTCCCCTGCTCCTCCTCCTCCTCTGTCTCCCACTGCTGCAGCTACCGCTGAGGGGGGTGGGTGTGTGGGAGTCGCTGGAGTCGTGCTAGGGGGTGGGGTGTGAGTGACCCTAGGGGTGTAGTAGGGGGTGTGTGCAAGGGGGCTGAGACTGTTTGGGGAGCTGAATGAAGGATGCCGTTGTGTCGCTAGCAGCACCTGTAGTCCGGGGGCTTCGTCCGGTAGCTCAGTCGTAGCCAGCTGTGCCAGCCGCCCGTGGGTCCGTTGCTCGTCTGCCGCTACTTTAGCCGCGGGGCCAGTTACCCCTGTAGTCCGGGGGCTTCGTCCGGTAGCCGCTGTGCCAGTCTGTGAGAATAAGCGAACAGGAATGAATGAACTAGCAGTGAAAATGAGTACAAGTAGGAAACCCTAGAATTGTGTACCCCCTATAGGCTAACCCACTGTAGCCTACACAAGCATAACATATATAATGTTTGACACACCCCCATAGGCAAAGTGGGGGAGAACAAGGGGTCACAAGACCAGTCAAGCAAAGCAAAGCAAGCTCAGGGTGGATCACAAAGTCACCACACAGTCCGAGCACAAGAGCAGGGCAAGAGGCCAGTTCACATGCAGGAGTACAGACATATATATAAAACTAGACAAGCAAGAGCAGGTATATATATATGTCACAGTACAAGTGAAGTCAAGAGGAGAGCAAGTGAGGCAAGACAGGTACAAGACCCAGCTGGGTGCAAAAGCGCTGATGGTCACAAGGCGCGAGTGCCTTGGTGAACACATCAGCAGTGTTGGCCTCAGAGGCCACGTACGCAAGTCGCAACTGACCACGCTGCTGCAGCTCACGAGCAAGGAAGTAGCGGAGAGCAATGTGCTTCGTTCTGTGCTCCAAGCGCTGCTCTTGACACAAGGCCAGCATGGCCTTGTTGTCTATGTACAGCACTGGAGGAGAACGAGGCGGCTCTCCAAGGTCAGTCAGCAGGTAGGTGAGCCAGCGAAGCTCCTGTGCAGCCATGGCCCCGACGTAGATCTCAGCCTCACAACTGGAGCCGAGAACCGAAGACGAGCGAGTAGACCGCCACGAGACAGAGCCGGAACCAAGGCTGAAGGTGTAACCCTGTGACGACCGCTGCGTAGCCTGGTCGTCAGCCCAAGAAGCGTCCGCGTGGCCGGTAAGGACCACTGGACTCCGCCCTCCAAGCACAAGCTCCATGCCCGACGTACTGCACAGGTAGCGCAATACCCTCTTCGCTGCAGCCATGTGCTCTGGTCTGTGTCTCCCAGGAGCAACATAGCGTGCAAGAATGCTCAGAGGGTATGCAAGGTCAGGTCGTGTGCAGGTCATCAGGTACATGAGGCAGCCAACAAGCTCTGCATACGGACCACTCGACTCTACGGACTCATCCGAAGGCAGAGCTGAGAGTGAGTGGCGAGTAGGCAGAGGAGTGGCCTGAGGCGAGGAGTACGTGAAGCCGAAGCGCTGAAGGACCTGCTGCACCATGTGTGACTGAGTCAAGGTAATGGTGCGGCGTGCTCTGTCCTGAGTGATCTGCAAGCCAAGGTAGCTGCGCAGTTCACCCAGGTCTGTGCACGTGTGTCTCTTCAGCAGTTCGGACTTCACGTAGGCGAGTCCAGCAGTGTCAGCAGTGGCAAAGACCAAGTCGTCGACGTACACGAGGATGTAGAACGGCGGCAGTGAAGTGTCGGTGCGCAGAAACAGCGACGGGTCAGCAGTAGAGGGAGCAAACCCAAGAGCCGCAAGCGTAGTCCTCACTGTGTCGTGCCACTCACGCGGTGCCTGGCGGAGACCGTAGACTGGCCGTCGGAGGCTCCACTGGGTGCCAGGAGGGAAAGTCCCAGTGAAGCCAGGTGGACGGCGCAGCCAGATCTCCTCGTGCAGGCTACCCTGCAGGAACGCAGTGCTGAAGTCGAGAGAGTGAAGCTCGTAGTCGCGCTGAGCGGCTATGTGCAGCAGCACCCGAAGAGTGGTCATCTTCGGGGTGGGAGAGAAGGTCTGAAAGTAGTCAACTCCCTGCCGCTGACTGAAGCCACGAGCAACGTACCGCGCCTTGAAGACAGGTGGAGAGCCCGGCGGCCGCTTCACCCGGAAGATCCACATGCCACTGACGATGTTCGCCCCAGGAGGGGGAACTGCGTCAACGTAGGTGCCTGTGGACTTCCAGGAAGCCATCTCTGCATCCATAGCTGCCTGCCACTGAGAGGAGTAGGGACCCTCTACGGCCTCCGCGTAAGAACGCGGAGTCGGGATGTCTAGTGCATCCGGGTCTCCCTCAGGGGCAAGCAGTACAGACGCGAGATGAGGTGAAGCAGCCGCTAGACACTGTAACTCCTCCTGTCTGTCCTCTAGGACGTCCGTGCCAAGAGCACACTCACCCCCGACGGACGGAGAACAGACAGACGCAGACTCAGCAACAAGACCAGCAGCGTAGTCGAGACGACAGCGAGCAGCAAAGTCAACGAGCTCAGCGACTAGAGCAGACGCAACAGTGGACTCAAAAGAGGGGTCAGTGACGACAGTAGCAAGCAGACGCGTGACAGTAGGACTGGCAGCGCGAAGAGAGTCCGACTCAGGGTCGGCAAGCGCAGGAAGAGAGGACTCAGGAGGAGAAGGCAAAGGGGCACGCAGAGGAGCAGTGGACGGACGCAGAGACATCCGGTGCGTGCCAGGGACAGGAGGAGGACGCTGACGCGAACCGCGACCACTGGCGCGAGCAGCACGAACAGGCGACGCGGGACGAGACGCAGGCTCACGACGCTCAGCAAGACCTCCAGTAGGACCAGTGTAAGGAGAGGGAGCAGGCAGAGGAGAGGAAGGCTCCAACAGTGACTGCGACTGGACAGGCTGTGGACACTCTACCGAAGGAGAAAGACCAAGAACCTGGTGTAGGAGCGGAACGAAGTACGGCCGAGGCCGCGCGGCAGCTCCAGACTCAGCAGGGACAGCACCAGCACCCTCAGCGACAGCACCAGCGCCACCAACACCTCCAGCGGCAGGACCTCCAGCAGCACCAGCAGCAGAACCACCGCCAGGACAGACAGCAGTAGTCTCAGCACCAACACCCTCAGCAGCTCCAGCTCCAGTAGGACCCGCAGGCCCAGCAGCTCCGGGACCGGCAACACCAGCACCCTCGACGGTCGACGAAGCTCCAGCTCCAGCAGCACTCCTCCAGCGGCGAGCAAACCACTCGCGCAGCTCCTGTGGAGAGAGG